TGGAGGCAGAAAAGGAATTGAACCAAGAAGTGAAAACTTTTTGATGTTGGGACTTCTAATAAAGTGTGAATCAGACTTTAACACCCCAGTTCTCCCAGTTAAGAAACCAAGTGGAACTTACAGACTAGTTCAGGATTTAAGGGGAGTAAATGAGATAACTATAACCTTATACCCCATGGTAGCAAATCCCTATACACTTCTAACAAAATGAAAAGAGAATTTGATTGGATTCACAGTGTTAGATTTAAAAGATGCCTTTTTTTGTCTACCCCGAGCTCAGGAAAGTCAAAAGATTTTTGCTTTGGAGTGGGAATCTGTCCATAGTGGGAGAAAGATGCAATGTAGTTGGACAGTCTTCCCACAGAAATTTCAAAAATAGTCCCCCTTTGTTCAGTGACCAGCCAGTCAAAGAGCTGGAACAATGGCAGCAGCCACCGGCGGATGGCGTTCTTCTACAATATGGAGATGACTTGTTCATAGCGAGCGGAACAGAATAAGTGAGTGTGCAGTGGACAATCTCTCTTTTAAACTTCTTGGGTTTAAATGGTTACCGAGGTTCCCGACAGGAAGCATGACTGGTGCAAGAGAAAGTGGTGTACCTGGGATATGAAGTCTCCAGTGGGCAATGTGCCCTGGGAACAGCAAGAAAGGAAGCATCTGCCAGACACCCAGCCCAGAAACAGTGGGAGATCTCCAAGCCTTTCTAGGAATGACAGGTTGGTGTAGTTTATGGCTCTATCAGTAGGGAGTACTTGTAAAGCCTTTCTAGGACCGCCTCGCCCCGCCCACTCCGCGTCCTCCCATTGGCTGCGCGCGCCCAGCCCATGGGGCGAGGAGCGTGCAGGGAGGGTTCGATGCCACGTGACCCGCGGGGGGGTTGGAACAGGGGTGAGGCAGGGAGCGCTGGGAGCTGCCTGGCAACTGATGAGTCATCAGTTCCGCCGCTCCCATTGGTTAAAAAATGCTTCTGGCCCTTCTGTGGCTGATCCCTCTGAGATCCCTCAGTGCCCCCCAAAAACCGGGACTGTGAGAACTAGGAGGCTTTATTGAGAACACTGGGAGTAGCTGGGCGGGGGCAGAGTGACAGTGGGGGGGGGGATATACAACCCCCCCAGAATCAGCACGGGGACGGCACGGGTCCATGGGGGGCACTGGGAGAGAGGGGGTACTAGGATGAGCTGGGGGCCACTGGGAGAGAAGGGAGACTGGGATGGGTTAGAGGAGCACTGGGAGAAAGAGGGAATTTTTTTTACCCCTTTCCTGGGCACTGGAACCCCCTGCACCCCTGTGCCTGGCCATCCCAGCTCTCCTTCCCCCACAAGCCATAAACAGGTTTAGGAGCTCCCTCGAGTGTCACAGCCAATGGGACAGCGCTGGTTTAATGACATCACTGGTTTTCAAGAAGAATATGCCCGCCCCTTCTTCCCACCCCTGTGAGACTCATCCAATAGAACATTGTGAAATCCGTGACATCACCGGTCACCAGGCAGAATTGGCGAGCTTGGGGGCTGCTTGGAGCAGGGCGGTGCTCGCGGTGGGGGGCGGATCCCGATCGATAGGGATCGGTTGGGATCGATCGGGATCGGTTAGAATCGATCAGGATCCGGGGTCTCTTCCCACCACCATGTTCTTCATGTGCTGACCCAACGAGGCCATGGTGGTGCTGGGTGAGTTTGGGGGGCCCAGGGACTCCTGGGAACCCCCCAAGTCCCCCCCAAGACTCCTGGGGACCCCCAACTTCCCTCCATCAAATCTCCCAGGATTCCCCCAGTTATCCCAAACTGCCTCCTGGGGACCCCCTGTATCTTGTCATTAGGATCCATGGCCAGAACAAAGACAAGTACAACAGTCATTCAAACATTACAAAAAAAACTCTTATTGCAGTTAAAGACTACTAGCAAAGAGGTTAAAAAGTTAAAAAAGAAGACAAACCCACTACTTTATCAGTTAGTATTCATACAATACTACAATCAGCTTTTATTACAACATTAGCTAGTAAAAAGGGAATTAAAGGGATACAAAAAAAAAGAATACAAAATGTTTTCTTTCCTGGTTGCTTCCTATCAATAAACTGTGCTCACCTGCACAGACAGGCCAGGCCTACCAAGCTCTGCAGGGTTGGTCGGTGCCCGTGCTTGGTGGGTGTCCCCGCAGAGCAGCACAGTGTGGATGGAAGGATGAGCATCGCTCCACCCAGCAGTGCTGACACCCCATTCCATCAGCTCTACATTACACTACGTAGGGCCAGGAAGCAGCAGAAGGTGGTGCTTGAATGGCAACCAAACAGCACCTGTTCATCACCTCATGGCAACAGTCTGGGCGTGCCCCACTGTAGGGCAAGGGGCCAACGACCCCTGCCCACATCATCTTCCTCTCCATCACCTTCCTCAGCCCTATGGACGACCTGTACCATTGTGTTTCAAGGGGATTTGTATCTCTCTTGCAGAGTGGAGCCAACCAAGGGTTGATAGGGGACATCCAGTTGACTTTTCTAAAGGCACAATGGGTCTTACAGTGAACTTGTGCAATAAAGTTACATTGTACAATATTCTGGTTGGTTTCACACCCCAATATAATCACTTTGTCACCCCTCTGTGCTCCACTGATCATCTGAATCAAAAGTACCACCCTCACACCATGGCAACCATTATGCATTCTCATTGTGATGGTCGGTTACCATGGCAACCATTATGTATTGCCATTTTTACCTCTATTACCATGGCAATTGGCAGCCCCTGGTGGTCTAGTGGTAAAGGTGCCGCGCTATCACCGCGGAGACCCGGGTTCGATTCCCGGTCAGGGCCACTCCCGGGCAGGTGGGGCTCGTCAGCCCTTAAAGGCAACCCACCTACGTCCTAAGGACCTCGCTACCATTGTCCAAGCTCGCTTGGCCCCGGCAGATGAACCTTAGGATTAAAGGGTGGGCTCAGTTCCGCGCACACTGTGTCTCACCTAAAAAAAAAAATCCAATGCGCAGGCTGGAAGGTGTAAAGACCTTCCCCGGATCTTCGCTCGCGAAGACTGGCCATTATTATTTACCATGGCAATCGTTATCCATTCTCATTGTTAACTCTGTTACCATGGCAACCATTATGCAATCTCATCATTTAGGTCGGTTACCACAGCAACTGTTATACATTAGCATTGTTATGTCAGTAACCGTGGCAAGCATTATGTATTCAAATTGCTACATTGGTTACCATAGCAACCTTTACATATTTTCATTGTTACCTGGGTTACCATGGAAACCTTTATGCAGTCTCATTGTTAGATTTGGTTACCATGACAACCATGATGCATTCTCATTGTTACGTCGGATACCACAGAAACCTTTATGCAGTCCTCTTGTGAGGTTGGTTACCATGGCAACAACTATACAGTCACATTGTTACATTAGTAACAATGGAACCATTATGCACTCCAATTGTTACAGTCGCTACCATGGCAACCATTATGCATTCCCATTGTTATGTCGGTTACCATGGACACCATTATGCTGTCTCATCATTTAGGTCGATTACCACAGCAGCCATTACACATTAGTATTGTTACATCAGTAACCATGGTACCATTATGCATTTGAATTGCTATGTCGGTTACCATGGCAACCATTATGCATTCTCATTGTGACGTAGGTAGCCATGGCAACCATTGTGCATTCTCATTGTGACGTCAGTAGCCATGGCAACCATTACCCATTCTCACTGTGACATCAGTTTCCATGGCAACCATTATACATTCTCATTCTTAAAAGCAGTTACCATGGCAACCTGTATGCATTCCGATTGATACCTCGGTTACCATGGCAATAATTACGCATTCATATTGTTATGTTGGTTTCCATGGCAACCACTGAGCATTTACATTGCTACGGTCAGTTAATATGGTAAACATTATGCATTCTGATTGTGAATTCGGTTACCATGGCAAATGTCATATTATCCCATTGCTACGGTCAGTTACCATGGCAACCATTATGAATTCCCTGTTACGTCGCTTACCATGGCAACCATCTGTAACACACAGACAATATAGAAATCCCAAAAATTGTTTCTGCCTCTCAAAAACTTCCTTCCAAACATTCTCTGTCGTCTCTCTGAAAGAAGTTCCCACCAGAACTTCCTACAGCACTTTCCTGCCAAAAGATCCTGCCATTGTTTATGATTATCATATCTCCTCCAATATCTCAACTGGCTACGTGCCAAGAAACCACATTCAACCTCCTTTGAACACTATAAAAGTTGAGGGCAAATTTTGGAAAATGAGGGAGAGGAAAGGGAGAAGAACTGGTGACTGTAGCCGAGAATCTCTGCCCACCTCCCCTCACCTTTTCTCCGCCACCGCGTGCTGCCTGCCTGCCACCGGAGACTGGAACTGTGCCGGCCTGGAGAGAGCTGAGACCACCGTGCCATATGTGGGAGTTCTACCTTATCCTTCTACCCTGACCATATTTCTGAGGGCCCAAAGCTTCGGCTGAGCTGAGACCCTGCACGGCCTGGGACAGGGGCGTGAGCGGTGAAACCACACATGGTGCATTGCAGAGAAATAAAGCTGTCAGACCCCTGCAACTACAGAGATAACATCCAAAAGCTGCAGGGACAGAGAAAAAAAAAGCAGAAACTGCTTCTCCTCTGCCCCACACACCAGCTTAGCGGGTAAAGGTACTTTTCAGCGATAACTTTTGCCTGCTTCTAGAAATAATCTTAGCAGTTTCCAAACTTTTCTTATTTTTTCCTTTCTCTCTGTATCTCTTAGCAATCAATAAAATCAGGTTTTGGTATCAACTGATAACTGTGGTGCCCCTCTTACCTCCAACTTACTGTGGGGTGCTGGGGCTATTGGATCCAATCTCAGCCTTGGGTTATGCCAGCAGGTTCAGTTTAGAGCAATTACAGAGGTGGGACTGAACCACTTTTGTCCCCCAGGGCTTTAATGATGACAAGTCCAATCTATTGATGGAAATGAATTATTTAGGGTTACAAATGATCAGACAAAAGATCTTCATCAGAATTATTTACTGCACAATACAAACACTAAAACTACCAATAGTACAGCATAAGATAGGACAGTGCTCTACACTAAAGTAATTGTGGAAGCAATTCTACTCAAGCTGGCACCAAAGCAAGAATTATGAATTAGAGATGGATGGAACTCCCCCAGACCAACGCTCGTGGGGAGATCTCTGCTCTCAACCTCCAGCAGTGACCTTGGGGGGTCCCAGCCAAGGCAGGAATCTCCACACATCCCCTAAGAAGGGTTCTGTTGGCAGAACCTACCCCTGGCAAAGGGGACTGGTCCCTTTCTGGTGGAAAGGGATGGACTGACAGTCCCTGGACTCCAGGGGTTGCCTCACCATCAGGAGGGGCATTCAGGGTGGGAGCAGCGGCCAAAGCTCTTCCCAAAGTCGGGGCACTCGTGGGGCTTCCCTTACTGGTGGGTCCGTTGGTGCGAGGTCAAGTTACCTCTCTGGGTGAAGCTCTTCCCACACTCCCCACACTTGTAGGGCCTCTCCCTGGTGTGGAGGCGCCGGTGGCTGACGAGGTTGGTGTTCCGTTTGAAGCCCTTCCCGCAGTCGGTGCAGCGGAAGGGCCTCTCCTCTGTGTGTGTCTGCTCATGCTTGAGGTGATCCGAGCTGCTCCGAGACCTCTTCCCACACTCAAGACACTGGAAGGGCCATTCCGCAGTGTGGGTCTTCTGATGCTGGTTCAGGTTGGAACGGAGGCGGAAGCTCTTCCCACATTCTGAGCACTTGTAGGGCTTCTCCCCCGTGTGCAGGCGCTGGTGGATAATGAGGTCAGAACTGTATTGGAAGCTTTTCTTGCATTCCCCACATTTGTGGGGCTGGTGCCCCCGTTCCCCAGTGTGGATGAGCTGATGGCGTATCAGGTGGGAGCTGACGCTGAAGCCCTTCCCGCATTCCAAGCACTTGTAGGGCCGCTCCCCCGTGTGCACCCGGCGGTGGGTGAAGAGGTGGGATCCATAGATGAAGGTCTTCCCACATTCCCCACACTCGTAGGGCCGTTCCCCGGTGTGGACACGCTGGTGGGCGAGGAGATTGGAGCTGTTGACGAAGCTTCTCCCACAGGTGGGGCACTTGTAGGGCTTCTCCGCGGTATTGACGCGCTCCTGCACCACCAGCTCGGAGCTCCGGCTCAAGCTCCGGCCACTTTCCCGGCACAGGCCGGGTCTTTCCTCCTCAGAGCTTCCTGGGCTGGCTTTGCAGCCCCTCCTCTGGGGGCATCTCCGGGCCTTTTCCTCCCTGCTGCCTTCCTGCGCCAGGGAGCCCTTCAAAACGGCCTCTCCCACCAGGCTCTGCCGGGGGGATTTGTCCTTCGTGCTCTCCGTCCTCAGCTCAAGGCCTGGGGCAGGAAGAAAGAAGGACAGGCAGGGGATTTGCCTCCAGCCCAGAGGGAAGGCCAAGGACATCTCCCCCAAATTTGGTCCCCACAGGCACCACAAGACAGGGCCAAAGGGGCACTGACTTCCTCCTCACCTGCCTGGGGAGCCTGCGGATATTTCCTCTTCCTTGCAACCTCCTCCTCCATCTGCCCAAGCTTTGGGAAGGACAAATCCTGTTGGGGGGAAACAAGGGCTGAGTGCCTTGCCTTGGGGTTTCCTCCTGCCCAAGTCAATCTCTAGAACTCACCAGGAATCTTGGGACCATAAAAACCTCCAAAACACTAATATTCAGCCCAAAAATCCCCAGCCAGGAGTTCCTCCTCTCTGGTCTCTCCACTTTGGGATTCTGGAGGTCCCCCCTGTTCGGGCTGCTGGGAATCCTGTGTGTATTTGGGGTCTCCCATCTACGGGGTCTCTGCGCTCTCCAGGCTGCTGGAGCTCCCAGCAGTCCAAGACTCCCCGTCTCCCAAATTCAGGGTTCTGGGGGACCTCCAAAACATCACGATTCAGCTTAGGAAAACTGAAACCACCAACATGCAGGCAAAAAAACTCCTCAGAAATAGCAAGAAGACCCCCGCCCCCAAACTGCAAAAGTTGAGATTCTGCTGAAATATACTCCAAATTATGAAGATTAGTCCAAAAAATCTCTCCCACAAGTTCCCCCTCTCTGGGTTTCAGAGGGTCTCCCCTGTCTGGGATGTTGGGGGCCCCACTTAGAAATGCTGGGAGTGTTGGGGGTCCCAAGGGTCCCTCCTCTTCTGACCCTCACCTTCAGGGTGCCGCCTTCCCACACATTCCCCCTCTCCGGGTTCTCCACCTCGTTGTCCCGAGGATCCCAGGGGTCCCCTCTCTCCAGGCTTCCCCGTCTCCGCTCCCCCCATTTCAGGCTCACGAGGGTCCCGGGGCTCCTCCCTCTCCGTGCTCCCCCCTCCAGCCTGCCGGGGGTCCCCCAGCTCCGGCATCGCCCGCTCCGCCCTCCACCCTCGGCAGCTCCCAGGGGGACCCCAAAACTGCTGTGTCTGCCCAGCCAGCCCCGGGCTGACAGTGGCCCTGACCCTGTCCCTGCTCCTCCCTGCAGGCTCCGTGGCCGGGCACACTTTGTGTTCCTGGGTGCCACCAGCTCAGCAGCTGCAGCCGCTCCAATCAGCGCCCGCAGCTCTGCAGCAAAGCCCCAGCTCACCTGGCACACAGGGCATGGACACAGCACCTTCTCGCTGCTGGGCACTCCCAGCTCAGCCTCTTCCCCAGCACGGGGCTCTCCTGCCTCAGCACCACCTCTGCCTTCCACTTCTTCTCAGGGCCACCTCAGGGCCTGCTCTCCAGGACAGGAACCTGCAGGGAGGGCAGATGATGTGCAAGCCCAGGGGGGCCTGCTTGCACTGGCCTGGGGGCTTCTTTCTCCTGCCACAACCACCCCACAACTTCTCCTGCTTTTCTAACCCCACATCTTTGCAGACTGACCTTGTCTCTCTGTCTGCACAGACACATCTATCCCCTGTGGACAGAGCCTCCAGCATGTGCTGCCCTGGCAATGGCACCCAGAGAATCCCAGAATCAGCCGGCTTGGAAAAGACCTCCCAGATCATCAAGTGCACCCCTTGATCCAACCCCGTCGTGGTTCCCAGACCGTGGCACGGATGCCCAGGGGAGGGGCTTTGGGGATTAGGTATCTCCCAGTACAGCCCAGTGCCCCCTCAGTGCTCTCCCAGTACAGCCCATTGAACCCCTCAGTGCCCTCCCAGTACAGCCCACTGTGTTCCTGTCCCAGGATGCCGGGTGATCCCTCTTTGCCAGGCGTTTGATTGGGATTTGGGGCATTTTGGGGGCCTCTGGGTGCATTTTGGGGAGTTAAAAGAGGTCTTGGGAGCATTGGGGGGTCAAAGGGATATGGGGGGGGAGGTGATTAAAGGAAAAATGGGGGTTAGGGGACATTTGGGGGGGCTTATTGGGGCTGGGGAGGGACAGGAGGAGCAGCACTACGAGCAAGTGAGTCCTGAGACCCCCCTGGTGTCCCCAAGACCCTCCTGCTGTCCTCAATTTCCCACTTGGCAGCCTGAGACCCTCCTGGTGTCTCCAGTGTCCCCAGGGCCTCCCCATGGCCCCAATTCTCCCCTTGACACCCCCCATTCCACTGTCCCCAAACCCCTCCCCCTTGTCCCCAAACCCCATCCCTGATGTCCCCAACACTCCGTCTCACCCCAGAAGGCCCCCCTGGACCCTCTGACCCCCAAAATGGCCCCATCCCCTCACAGTTTCAGAAAGGTCAAAGGCATCTGGGGACACATTGGGGACACTTGGGAGCCTTTGGGGGAAACTGGGTGATTACTGACGGATACTGGGACACACTGGGGATAACCAGGGGGTACTGGGAGGGACTGGGGGGTTATTGAGGGATGCTGGGAGGGCACTGGGAGGGACTGGGTTATTAGTGGGGGATTACCAGGACATACAGGGGGACACTGGAAGGTTACTGGGCCATACTGGGGGTTACTGGGTGCTCACTGGAGGATTATCAGGTCATACTGGGGGCAGTGGGAGGTCACTGGGCTACACTGGGCCCCCATTACCTGAATGTGGTACATCGACCCCCCAGAATTCGGGGGGCAACCATAAGACCCCTTCCCTGGGAGCTGAACCCCATTACTGGACTTTAGAGGACCCTCTGACCCCCCCTCCCTACGGCGTCTGTGATGAGTTTTGGGGGTCTCTGGGGCTCGAAGGGGGGGGCACCAGCACCCCCTTTCCTGCGCTCGGTCCGCCGGGCCGGCAGGGGGCGCTGTGGCTGCAGCAGGAATGGCGGTGCTGCGCAAAGCCTCATGGGGGTTGCAGTTCCCTCATGGCCGGCGCGCCTGCGCATTTAAGCCACATGGCCGGGAGAGCCCCCCTTTCTCCCCGCCCCAGAGAGGGTTTCAATCACCGCGCTCCGCCCTTCGGGAGCCCTCGAACCCCCCCGCTAAACCCTCCCGAGCCATCCAGCCTTTCCACAGCTCCCCAGTTCCAACAGCCCCGCTCTCGCCGCAGCCGCCATCTCCCTCACCTGGATCGCTGCTGCACAACATGGCGCTGGGCGCGCGCGCCGCATTTAAACCCCCCGCCGCAGCCAATCAGAGAGCGGGCACCGCCCCTCCAGCCCCGCCCCCGCCCCGCGCGGGGAACCACGGGAGTTGTAGTTGCGGCAGCGAAAGAACCAGCGCGGAACTCGAGACTGCGCAGGACGATCTGGGCAGATCCGCGAGAGGAACGAGCGGCTGCTGCAGTGTCCTCCAGGGACAGAGGAGGAACGAAAGGGCCGCTCCGAGAGCAGCTGTAGGCGAGATTAATGAGAGAAGGGAGAGAGGAGTCACAGCTGGAGTCCTCTAAAGAAACATCCCCCTCTCTGACTTCAAGCCTTTGCGGGACCAAGGGGAAAAGTGGTCGGTGTCGCTCCGTCCCCTCATTAAAACAGAATACACAGAGGAGGGCTCGGATGATGATACACCTCAAATAACTGGCAAAAGAAGTTCCTTAGACAGCGACTGAATTAGCTGAGTTAAAAAAGGAATAGAGCAGAACCCCTCAAGATTCTATGTTTGGAGAGTCTCTCTTACTGGGGCTGACCAAATGTTGTTATCAACAGAGAGACTGAAGGGTTCTGGGGAGCCGGAGTTTTCCTGACCACAGGAGATTCTCGTGGGCCCTGGTCCCTTCCCCAAAGAGCAGCCTGTTGGGCAGGGGGACTCAACACCCTGGAAAGGAGAGATCCCCTGGCTACAGTGGGAAATGTTCATCAGATTGTGGAAAGTGTGCAAAAGGCTGCTTGTTTACAAATAATGGGTGATAGGGAATGAGCACCAAGCCCTGAATCCCCAGTGATGCTGCCTGCAGACCCTGAAAAAATAATTATCATTCTCAGAGGTCTCCCTGAGCTGTGAAACCTGTTACCTAAATGGCTGTGGGGAAAAAAAGACTCCAAGCCAAATTAGGTAGGAGATAAGATAAGGATACAAAAGTTTTAATGAGCCCCCAGGCTTTCTGGAATACCCCAGCACGCGCTCCCGAAATACAGATGTCCACAGTTTTTATAATGATTTTCACCCAATCCAGTCCAGCCACCACCCAGGTTCTGCCCCCACCACGCCTCTTGGGAATTGGGTCTGGGGGCATTTTGGGACCCCCTCTTCTTCATCTTCATCTTCCTCAGAGCACGTAATGTCCTTGGAGGCCTTCCAGAATTCTAGGCCTGAAGGTTGTTGGGTCTATGGCTGTATCTTGTTCCGTAGGGTTAGGGTGTTTTTCTACAATTCTACCTTGAAAAAGAGACTAAACAGGCTCTGGAATTTAGGGAATTGATATGGGAATGGGTAACTGGGGTTTGAGTTGGTGTGTTAAGGGTAAAGGGATAATATGCTGCTACTCTAAAATCTACATTTACTATATAACTACTTCTAAGGTCTACAAAAATAAAAAAATTAAAACATCAAAACTCCAAGGTATCAGTCCCCCCTTTAGAGACTGGACAAAACTCAAAAATTTTGTCCAATCTCTACTACTTACTTCTAATCACTTTCCAAAAAGATGAGCAACATCTACAACATTGGTTCATGCAATAAGTTATTACACAAACACTAACTATGTATATTACCAATAGAAACAGTTGTTTAATCCAGGTCCAGTTCGGTAACCATGAAGTAAGTTTGTGGAGAGTGTCTCCCAAACCCAGTGAGACATTGTCCAGAGACACCTGATGTAGAATTTTAGTTTGATTCCGAATTGCAGCCAAATCGTTATTAATTCTTCCACTTTGGTCTATGTAAGAACAGCAACTGGTGTTGATGACTTTACACACGCCTCCTTGAGAGGCTAGCAAGATGTTAAGAGCCAGTCGGTTTTGTAGAACTACACGAGACAGACTATGGACCTCCTCTTGTAAAGCTGAAATTGCATCTGAAGCCTGATCTTGAATGTTTTCAATTACAGCTGAGATGTTAACTATTGCCTTTTCCAATTCACTCACCCCTAGAGATGGGATCATGGCTCTGACTATACTGTGAAAGAGTGTGGGACGGTCAATAAGGGGATTATTTGTCCTCTTCATTCTTTTTAGATAACTCTTTTCCCATTCCTCTTTTTCATCAATTTGGTCAAAGATTGTTATGTTTGGAATTACAGCCCCTAGAGCACAGGCCCGATCTTTATCAAGGGGCAAAACTTTCCAAGCCTCTTTTTCACAAATCCAGTACCACCCTGAACCATGGGGGGGATTAATCTCAAGGGGACTTGTGCCAACCTTGTTACAATTTCCGGGTCTATTTCTTCTGTAGATTTATTTTTATCACAGTAAGGAGGGAGAATGATTTTTCCTGTAGCATTAACAACCATACAGGGGACAGTGTAATTGTCCTGGTCAGACATTACGTGAGTCAGGGTTACCGGATAGTAGGCCTCAGTAACTGGCTTCCAGGTTCCTGGCAGTTCTAACATAGACTTACCAAAGTTTGTTTCGTTTAGTAAAATGCCAATAAGAGGCCAAATGCTATCTTTACCATCGATTGCTGGTATTTGGGTGCAAATCCAGCAGTCATCTTTGCGGAGAATTTTGGATACATTTTGGACTATGGCCACATGCAGTTTTGGATCCCAAACTCGATTCATAGTTACCGACTGTACAGATAACATGTACAGCAGAAACAGTTTATGGCACATCCTCTTCATCTGAGTTGGGTTCTGATTTGCTGATAGTTCCAGGAACTGAAGCTTTCTTCACTCTGGAGTAATGAAACCACGGTCCTTTGCCAGCAACTTTGACAGCAGTGAGGGAAGTCAGCAGGACTTGGAAAGGTCCTCTCCACTTGGCTTGCAGCGGATCACTGTCCCACCATTTGATGTAGACCCAGTCTCCTGGTTGGAATTGATGAGCAGGGGTGTCCAATCCAATGGGCCTTGAAAGCTCGACAAATTTCTGGAGCTTCTGTAAAGTAGAGCCTAAAGCAATTAAATACTTTTGTAAATCAACTTTCCCTCTCATGTGAATGTCCCCTGGAATGTGTGGAGCCTGGTATGGTCTTCCATACAATATTTCATAAGGACTTATGTTATCCCTCCGCCTTGTCTGGATACAAATCCTCAGCAGAGCCAGAGGCAAAGCCTGAACCCATGACATGGAAGTTTCCTGACAAATTTTGCCAATTTGCATTTTAAGAGTGCCATTCATGCATTCCACTTTGCCACTTGCCTGAGGTCTGTAGGGAGTGTGTAGGTCCCAAACAATTCCTAGGACGCGACACACCTCTCTCACTATTACTGCAATGAAATGTGTCCCTCTATCTGATGACATTCCCAGAGGAACCCCAAATCTTGGAATTATGTGATTAAGCAAAGCTTTTACTACTTCTCTTGCTGTGTTAGTGCGACACAGGTAAGCTTCAGGCCATCCACTAAAAGTGTCAACCAGCACTAGTATGTATTTATATCCTTCCCTCGGTGGTAACTCAGCAAAATCTATTTGCCAGTAATCTCCAGGAAGGTTCCCAGCCTTTGTTACTCCTAGTACCACCCTCTTGGTTGTATCCGGGTTGTTTTGCTGGCAGATTTCACATTTAGTTACTATGGATTGTACGACTTCAGTCATACCTGTCCCTATCACTACTTTCTTTAGGTG